GGGGGGGGGGAGGGGGGAGGGGGGGGGGGGGTAGGAAAAGAGAATGGGAGGAGAGGAGGGAGGGATGTAAAATAAACTAATAAAAAAAGAGGAGTACAGGCTTGTAGCGCTGGAAGACATTATTTTAGTATTTTGTGACTATGAAGAAGTCATTTGTTGGACTTGATAACTCAGTGTTTAAGAACACTTAGCGCTTTTGCTGAGGAGCCAGCTTAAGTTCCCAACACCCACTTGGTAGTTAAACCATCTATCTCTAGAACCATCAGTTCTAGGGGATTTAATGCCTCCTTCTGACCTGGTTGGGCGCCTGGCATATACCTGATGTATATACATACATATAGGCAAGCACTCATACATATAAAAATAATCACTTGTTGAATTTTAAAGAAAGCTAAGTCATCAAAATTTAATAACAAATGATAGTAAGGCATCAATAAATTGAAATTTCTCCATAATTTTCTAGGTGGATTTAAACCACATTTACGGTGAAACTCTAGACAGGCAACATAAACTGCGCCTTTTCAAGGATGGAAAATTGAAATATCAGGTATTTTCCTTGCATTTTTAGGAATTGTCACCTGCCATTTACATTTACATTTTGAAACTGCTGCTTGTGTGTGTGTGTGTGTATTTGTTTTGACTCTGCTATTTTTACTGTTGTGGCTTAGGTCATTGGTGGAGAGGTGTATCCTCCTACAGTCAAAGACACCGAGGCGGAGATGATGTACCCTCCTCACACCCCTGAGCACCTACGGTTTGCTGTGGGGCAGGAGGTCTTTGGGCTGGTGCCTGGTCTGATGATGTATGCTACCATCTGGCTTCGGGAGCACAACAGAGTGTGTGATGTGCTTAAACAGGAGCATCCTGAGTGGGACGATGAGCAGCTATTCCAGACGAGCAGGCTCATTCTGATAGGTGAGTAAGAGAAAACCAGTAAGACCATCTCCCCAAGGAGAAAGAAAAACTCATTCACATGTTACGGTTGCTATGTTTGGACGCTCTGTTGTGAATAGCGAGAATGAACATGACTGGTAGCATGCCTACTGTTTGATGGCAAGGGAAACAAACTCTCTGTGTTGTCCAACAGGAGAGACTATCAAGATTGTGATAGAAGACTATGTGCAGCACCTGAGTGGCTACCACTTCAAACTCAAGTTCGACCCGGAGCTGCTTTTCAACCAGCAGTTCCAGTATCAGAACCGCATTGCAGCTGAATTCAACACACTGTACCACTGGCACCCCTTGCTACCCGACACCTTTCAAATCGAGGACCAGGAGTACAACTTTAAACAGTTCCTCTACAACAACTCCATCCTCATCGAGCATGGACTCACCCAGTTTGTTGAATCATTCACCAGACAGATTGCTGGCCGGGTAAGCATTATTCCTGAAAAGCAAGAGCAAGGGGGTCAGTTACTTTAGGATTTCTGTCATAGAGATAATTTTTCCTTTTACTGTAAGGATAACTAGATGTTTTATCTTGAAACACGAAGCCTGGGTGGTTTTTGAAAGGCTATAGTTTTAGTCTACAGCTATCAAGCAAATTACAAAAACGTTATCTTAAAACTAGTACTTTAAAAAGCTTGCAATCATCTGACAGATTATAAAAGTAAATATGCAGACTTGTCTGTCAGCTTATTTTTTTGTAATTGTAAAAGACAAGTTCATTACAGGCTACAGGTGTTGACATCAAGACATAGGACAACAGGAATATGCCTAAGAATCACATTTTATTATGCCCTTTCCTCAGGTTGCTGGGGGTAGGAATGTTCCAGTTGCAGTAAAAGCAGTGGCCAAGGCCTCCATTGACCAGAGCAGAGAGATGAAATACCAGTCCCTCAATGAGTATCGCAAACGCTTCTCCCTGAAGCCTTATACATCATTTGAAGAACTTACAGGTAAGAGATTGATTCTAAAATTCTTAAAAGGATCAAGGATTAAATGGGAAAAGAGAAAGTGAGAGAGAATTTGATAAGGGATGAACCTCCTCCTCTTCCTTCTCCTTCTTTCTCCTTTTTAAGGACTCAGTTTATTGAGAAGGAGGGGTGGGAATGGGAGTGAGCTAGTGAGCAGGGGGAAAGCCTATGCCTGAAAGCCAGAACTATTTTCTTCTTTTCCTAGTTTGACATTGCCTATATCTCTGTCTTCTTTACCTTCCAGGAGAGAAGGAAATGGCTGCAGAGTTGAAAGCCCTCTACAGTGACATCGATGCCATGGAGCTGTACCCTGCCCTGCTGGTGGAAAAGCCTCGTCCAGATGCTATCTTTGGGGAGACCATGGTAGAACTCGGAGCACCATTCTCCCTGAAAGGACTTATGGGTAATCCCATCTGTTCTCCTCAATACTGGAAGCCAAGCACTTTTGGAGGAGAAGTGGGTTTTAAGATCATCAACACTGCCTCAATTCAGTCTCTCATCTGTAATAATGTGCAGGGCTGCCCTTTCACCTCCTTCAATGTGCAAGATCCACAGCCTACCAAAGCAGCCACCATCAATGCAAGTGCCTCCCATTCCAGACTAGACGACATCAACCCCACAGTGCTAATCAAAGGGCGTTCAACTGAACTGTAGAAGTCTATTGGTTATATTTATTTATTTATATAAACAATTTAATTTAATTATTTAATATTTATACCGAATGCTCTTTTCACTTAACATCTTCTATAACAGAAGGCCATGTGTCCTGAGCAATGTTAGATTTGTGAAGATTCCTGTGTTTGTACTTTGGGTATGTGTTGCCCTCAAGTGAAAGAGAAAAACAGCTTTCACTCTTTTACATAAACCAGTGGAAATGAATTTTGATAATTTTTTTACTTGAATTTCAGCTCATGGTATATCTTTATAAGAGCAAAGGAAAGATGTTTGACTACTTAAATGCTGTTACAAGATGACAGATGCTGCAAGTGTCTACACTGTTGACTATGACTGTATCTTCCTTGCTACATACATTAGGAGCAGCTAATATGGAGATTTAAAGAAGTCTTGCTTATCTTATCTCATCAAACAAAAGGGTCCAAGTCCAGTTTTCAATGAACATTTTTGGCAGATACTGTCAATGAGTTCATTTAAAAAGCAGTCTTGAAATGAATGGTTTGAAATTTCTAAATTGAGAGCTTGAATCCCCTTTGAATGCTCTCACTTTCTTAAGCTGTTAATTTTGGACCCATACCAATAAATCAGCTATCATAAACATAAATCTCTAAAACTAGTAGAAATTACATTATGATTACTGGTTAAAAAAAAAAACTATGTCAGGGATTTTCTTTTCTCAGTAGGAGTGGAATGCTACTTACTGTGATTGGTAAGACCTTCCTTGTAATTCAAGATGCCAGTACAGGAAGGGGGTGGAGCTCTTGCTGTTCTAGCTTAAGAGTATGATCTTTAAAGAGTTGGGTTACATGAGTAGTACCAAGCAAATCTTCAACAACGAAAGATTTACAAATAAAATAACCAAGGACAAAGAAGGATTCCCAATTAAAGATCACATTTGGGGTTATGCTTCTGAAAGAGATGTTTTGATCCTTGTGTGATGCTGGCATGGTACTCAAGAGGTTTTTGCTCTGAGGTCAATGACTTAGCAAGCTGGACTTAACCCATTTTTCTCTTGCACAGTATGATGTAACAGTCTGTCTCACAATGTCAAACGTGTAAGTGGCTCTGTGAGCTTCTTCCAAGTGTTGAAATTTATTCCTGCTCATGTTACCTGAAGTGCAGTGGGCCCTGTGCACTGTGTGAGTCCAGCTTGCTGCTCCTCTTATTTCTTTTTCTTGTCCCTATTTACTATGAGAAACTGCTGATCAATTTTTTTCTTTGCTGTTTTCCAGATTTTGGATTTTTCTTTGCTGTTTTCCAGGCTTTTAATATCAGGTCTATTCTCTCTTTAGCCTCTATTAACATTTTCTCTACTTGAAATTTTACATTCAGGAAGACCTCAGCTCAGGACTACTAGGTACTCCCGTTTGGAGGAGTAAGTTCATTTTAGGTGAAAGGCAGGATTTTTTTTTTTTTACTTATAATTAATTATACTGAAGGACCCTATCAAGATATGAGTGCCTTATACTGAAATGTAGGGGGTTTGTGACAAGAAAGTTGCATTCTTGTTGTGAAGCATGGCTTTCTTACAAACAAAGTCAGTTAGTGAGTAGTTCTGGGCAATAGTAGTAAACATAAAAAAATACTGAAGATAATTCTACATCTCATTATCAGCTGAGGTACTGTATATTACTGAATTTATTGAGGATAATTATGTCTTTTAGACATTATTGTTATAAACTATGTTTAAGCCTACAAGTGTTTGTTTTTGCATTGTGTCAAAAATCAATGTACACTTTTTTGTGATTACCTCTCTGAATTCCTGTGTAAACAATCAAACAAAATTATGAGATTCATGTTCTTAGATAAATTTTAAGAAAACTAGTCTGCTATATTGAGAAGTTTAAAGATGGAATTTACCCATATAGCAGACTTCAGAGAACATTGTTTCATGAAACATGTTATAAAGACTGACATCTTAAACATTTTGAAGGCCCTGTAGGTGCTTTGTTAATTAGTTAAAACTTACCTTATTAAGAAATTGTCTTCAAAGCACTATAGGCATTAGTATTCACAGATCAAGAACTGATTACAGATAATATTTATGTAAATAACTGAAAAATGTGTCTTATTAAGAGAAAGGAGAGATTTATTTTTAAAAATTACAAAATATTTTAAAGATTACACGATTAAAATAATTAGGATGGAAAAATAATTAACTTTAGGAAAAACTGTATATTTTTTCTTAAATCAAGCCAACTTGATTGTTGTAAACATGAACCTGCTGACAGAACCTGAAAATTCAGGTTAAGTGTGTGTCTGTTACAGTGCCTGAGAGAAATGTGTATTTAAATTAACTTATGTAAAAAAAGAAGTCTTAGAACAAATGCTTGTTTATTTTTATACTATTTAAGAATTGAAAACTTCTGAAAATAAAATTTGATTGTTTCCTTACATTTTTGCAGGCATTGATTTCTGAGTGATGATCCTTAAACCATTATTTTGTGCTCTTTTATCTATGATAGGAAAGAAAAGTAACGTTAGTGTAGAGTGATTGCCTGGCATTTAGGAAGCCCTGGGTTCTATTTTCCATACTGAAGAAGAAAAATCAAGGCTGCCCCTTAATGAAATGACTCTGGCTTTGGTCCCATGAACTCATCTGAGAGTCACTACTTAGTATCTCAGTTGCTGAAGAACTGTTAAAAGATATGTTTTATGCTATAGGAGACACCAGCAGGCTTGCTTTCATTGCCTAATCTAGAAATGAATACAATATACAAAAGGCAGAACAGGCAAGGTGAGATGGCTCAGTGTGTAAAGGTGTTTGCCCCCAACCCTGATGACCTGAATTTGATCCCTGAAGTCCACATGGTGGTAGGAGACAACTGACTCTCATGAGTTGTTCTCTGACCTACACACACACACACACACACACACACACACACACACACGCACGCACGCACGCACGCACGCACGCACGCACGCACACACATACACGCATTGTAGCACACAGTTTGCTGTTCTCTGGGTCTTTCTCATTTGCAAAGAGTACCCCTGTTCCTCTGCTGTATCTGTACGTTGACATACTATATATGACTTTCATGTTAATTGCACTGAAATTCTTAAGTTCAAACAATAATCACTCACAGGTTTTATATTTCCAGAATTCAGTTTTAATCAGCAATTAACAACATCCACTCAAATTTACAAATGTAATCATTTATTTTTTCATCTCTGCCTAAACAACACATGCACCATATAGTCCAAACAATAATTGTCTAAAGTTAATTAGATAATTACCATCTTCTAGTTTTAAGGAAAACCCTTTTCTTCTCTCTCACACTTGCTCTAGTGGCAATCCTGTTGATGGCATTCCACAAATAAATAAGAATTATGTCACTTACCTCCCCAGCCCTGCCAATATCAACCTAGTCAGTCCCTCTTTAATCTTCCTTTTGTCTAAAACACTCTTCTTATGGTGATGAGAGTATGTGTTTTCAAAAATCAACCTAACCATGGCTCTCCTACGTCTGAAATCATCCAGCGACTTCTTACTATGCAATGAATATGAGCTTCTTATCCCCTTATATATTGGAACCTCAATCACCCATCCTCTGCCTATCTATCTGAACTCATCCACTGTGCATCCTTTACTTGTATTTCATTTTCTGTTGTTGTGGCAGAATGCTTGAGACTGGCTAATTTGCTCCTGGCCCTGGAAGCTAGGGTCCAAGGCTGTGATGCTTCTGGTAGAGTGCTTCTGCCCCATATGCATCAACTGATGCAGGAAGACTGGGCAAACAGGCTGTGCAACAAGGAGGGTTGTGGCTAAGTCCCCCTAACTCATGGAGTGGGGAGGTACATTAATCCCTTTTGATGATAGAGCCCCGGTGATCCAGAGGCCTCATAAGCACTCAACCACCTTGCAATAATGTTTATAGCCAGTTATATTTCAACATGAGTTTTGATAACAAGCAACATCTATCTGAACCACAGGAATACCCATGTTTCCTATACCTGTTATATCACCTTCTCCCCCCCCCATTTTTTAATTTAAATTAGATTTAAATTAAAACAAACAAGATTGTTTTACATGTCAACCCCAGTTCTCTCTCCCTCTCCTCCTCCCCTGCCCCCCCCCCACTAACACCCTACCTATCCCACACACACCCCAGGGTGACCCTTTCCGCCCCCTCCCCCCAGGGGGAGGCCTTCCATAGGGGATCTTCTGAGACTGTCATATCCTTTGGGATAGGGCCTAGGCCCTCCCCTGTGTGTCTAGGCTGAGGGAGTATCCCTCTATGTGGAATGGGCTCCCAAAGTCTATTCCTACACTAGGGATAAGTACTGATCTACTACCAGAGGCCCCATAGATATCCGAGGTCTCCTCACTGACAGCCACATTCATGGGGTTATATCAGCTTCTTATGGTTTGTTTATTAGCAATAATTATTAAGATGTTGTCTCTCTTCAGATTTTTGTTTTTTGAAGATTTTCATGTGACTCTGCCTTTTCATACTTCAATCTCAGCTCAAATTTCCCATCCTCAGGAAGGCTACTTGGTGTTCTACATAACATTCATTGCTGTCTTGTCTGATGTTACTTTGTTTTGTGTCTTTCCTGTGTTCTCCCTCTAGACATTTATGCTCATGAAGAAAACAACCTTGTTTGAGTTGTTCATAGCTTTCAGAATTCTAAATGGGTTTAAAAGCCATTAAAAAAATACATGAAAGACAAATAGAGACTTTATTAAAAACAGATTGTGTAGTGATTCTTAAAGAAATAGTAATATCTTTGCAAGCCCAGATATCCTCTCTGGAAAGGTCTGCCATTTTCTTCTATAACAAAAAAAAAAATGCATTAACATAATACTTTCTGACTAACATGTGTGAAAGTGGTAAACTCTGAGTAAGCTCGGTGGGTGGTGCCGTCAGTTTCTTGGGTTTGATATTGTACTATAATTATAAAGATGTCAGTATTCTGGGAGGTGTGAAATTCAGTTTCTCTCTACTCACGTCTTTGTAACTTCCTGTGAAGGCAGTTGGTTTGTTTTTTTTTTCAATATTGTAAGTAGCTTTGTTTGTTTGTTTAAGAAGGGGTCTTTTGGTATAGCCTTGGCTTGCCTGGTACTCATGTAGCCCAGGCTGGCCTCAGAATCACAGAAATCCTCATGGCTTAACCTGTCCCTCCTGATCGCAGGGATTACCACTATGTCCATTTTTATTTTCAGGGGAGGGGGTATTTATTTATTTATTTAAAATATTTTTATTGTTTTGTTTATGTGTTTGTATGTGTATCTCTATGAGCAAATGCCAAAAAGGTGCAGATGTCCATGGAGGCCAGAACAGGGTATCAGATCCCTTGGAACTGGAGTTATATATACCATCTAACATGGATGCTAAGAAGTAAACGCAGGTGCTCTGAAAGAGTGAAAAGCACTCTTAACCACACAGCCGTCTTTCCAGACACATTTTCTAATTTTTTTTTAATATGTGTGAGTGCTTTGCTAGCCTGTATGTCTTATAAACACCGAGCCATTTGTCCAGCCCCTCTTTTATGTTTTGCTTTGTTTTGTTTGAGGAAGGGTCTTACTATGATCCCCTGCCAGATAGACTGCAACTCCCAGTGTCCATCAGGTTGGGCTCTGATTTGTTCTGTTCCTCCTGCCTCTGTGTTAAAGCACTGGGGTTACAGGTATCCACCACCAATACAAAGGGGTCTTTTCTAATATTTATTTTTAATATTTTTAATTATGTGTATATGTGTGCTTGTCTACATGAGTGTATGTGCCCCAGATTTGTTAGACCCCCTGGAACTGGAGTTACAGGCAGTCATGGGTGCAGAGAACTGAGTTCAGATCCTCTGTAGGAGCAGTACATGCTCTTAACCACTGAGCCATCTCTCCAGCCCTGAAGGCTTTTCTTTTGTTTTGTTTTTTAGATTTATTTTATTCCATTTGTGTGTGTGTAGTTGTATATGCACATGTGTGTACAGATGTAGGTATATATGCATACGTGTGTGCAGGTGCCCTCAAAGGCCAAAAGAAAGTGTCAGCTCCCTGTAGCTGGCAAAACAACCACATATGGGAATTCAGATCTGAGCTCCAGTCCTCATGATTGAGCAGCAAGCACCCTTAACTGCTGAACCATGTCTTCAGCCCACTGAAGCAAAGTGAATTCAAATATACTGTTAAGGACTCAGAGTTAGTTTCTTCCTCCTCCTCTTCCTCTCTCTTTTTGGAATGGGATATCATGGAACCAGGCTGGCCTCAATCCACTCTGTAGACAGGATCATCTTGAAATTCTGATCTACCTGTCTTCATCTCCTGAGTGCTGGGATTACAGGCACGCATCATTTTGAATGGTTTATTGAATAGCAAGGATCAAACCCAGTGCTTACGCATGCCTGGCTAGAGACCTACCAACTGAGCTACATTGCCCAGTGTCTCTTTCTTTTTAAGTTAGCATACAAAGCAAGGAGTTTCACTATTGTATTTTCACACATGTGTTGCTATACTTTGTTTTAGCTCATTTCCTCCTATACTTCCTTCTCCCATTCCTATCCATCTCTCTTTCTAGTCCCTTCCTCCCCCCATAAACAATTCTTTCTTTTGCTGTCAGGTCTCGAAGACCCATGGCTCCTCTCTGGCCCTGCTTAAAGATCTTTTCCTGCCTCTCCTGGAAAGACTGACTTTTGCAGAACTCAGCCAAAGAGCAAAGATACAGGAAAAGGAATGAGCTTAAGATAAATAGTGAAAGTTCTGTAAGTTACTCTGCTATTATCTACAAAATAAGAATAACTTTAGTAATTAGTAATTTAGACCCACCCCTCATTAAACTCAATCAGAAGCCAGGAGAGATCAGATTGGTTTTTCATATAGTTACCATTACTCTTTTAATTTTACTTTTTATATTAATTTTTTGTGTTTGCCTTTAATTCCTCTCTCTCTCTCTTTCTCTCTCTCTCTCTCTCTCTCTCTCTCTCTGTGTGTGTGTGTGTGTGTGTGTGTGTGTGTGTGTGTGTGTGTGTGTGTGTGTGTGTGTGTG